GGTAAAAAGCTATCTAGTGTTGAGACGTTCATATCTTGAGAAAAATTGCGACATTTATGCAAATGTCATGTTAACGTGAAAGTCATCCAGTGCCATTGTCATTGTTGATTCAAAAGCTGTTGCTGCTGGCAATTGTGATTTCACTGACGGCCAGTTGACATCACGAGTCGTGGAAGTTGATTCAATATTTAATTACATACAAGGATTATGCAGAAGCATGGTCAACCGCCACAAAGACACCCACATGAAATTGGAAGGGCCTAAGGGCTAAGAATATGGGACGAGAAGAGGATTACTCATCGATCAGCACTTCTTCCACTGCTATCCACATTTTGCCGAAGAAGTTTTTATGATAATGTAAAGCGTTTGAAGCAATGACTTTCGGCAAATCAGCCGAACCAGCTAAACCTAGCATATCACGACTGTCACGATGAATCATATTTTCCTTTACGAACCGTGGATTTCTATAAAAGAGAGATGGGTGGTGGTGTTGAAAGTTTGTGGAAAAGATGGCAAATCGTCCTAGATAATGATGTGAATACTAATGTAATAGACTAAGAAATAAAAATTTGAATTTACTACAAAGTCCCTATACTCCATAACCGGTCCTATGTTACTAAATTCGGTGTTATTAAATTTCATTTTTTATTTTAAGCTTAATTTTGTAGGGGTAAAAAATTCGCCCGGAGTTGAATACAATTTTTTTACTTGTTCTTTTAGCCTACATCGCTTGTAATGCAGGGTATATTAAGTCTGTGCGGATGTATATAACATCCGGGAGGACTAGAGATAGATTTACCTTTTATTATAACAGCATAAGCTTGTCTGTCCGTCTCTTGTCTGCGTATGTGTTTTTGTGTTCAATATAAAGGTAAACATTTTCGAGATATTGTGACAAAAATTAGTTCATTGACGTGTCTTGGCCTAAGGACGAACGCTATTATATATATAAATATTTTATATATATAATTATAAATTAAAATATTTATATATAAAATAATTATACATATAAAAAATTATATATATAAAATAATAAGTGGTGCGACCCGAATTATTTCCAATAGCGTTCGTCCTTAGGCCAAGACATTGCGATTTCACAAAAATCACTTAGCAATAGAATTTCGACATTCTAAATGGTTGTGAAAACTATCAATCGGATGGGAACATTTTTTTAACATCTCGCCATACAATCGATCTGGAAGCTGAATCTTCTGAAAATGATTAAATGTAAGTACCATCGAGACATATTAACGGCGTAGCTTTATCCCGTCCTTCCATAATACACATCAACAACACCGCAATAATCCAACAGATATTAGGTATCAAAAAGTTACTTAGCCTTTAGAACGTTTACATTCATATATGTATATCAATAACTCGTTTGATATACCCGCAGATCTTTTTTTACACGGTTTTACGTTTCTTAGAAAATCGTGCAAAAAAAAAAAAAAAAAATACATGCGACATTTGGTAAATCTGTGAATATGTTCTGCAAATTTAAAAAATGTCATAAGATGAGAAAACTCGAGATATCTTTCGAAAAAGCGTGCAAAGAAAGTATATGTTGAAAATAAGAAGAATACATGGACAGACATGAGACGTACAGACATGCTTATATTTATATAACAAAAGGTGAGTCTTTCTTAAGCCCTTCGGGGTGTTACAGACATCCTAGTAGAAACTTAATACACCCTGCAACAAAACTGACGTAAGGTACTGGGAACGTGTAAAAAAATTATACTCGATTGGGGCCGAACCAGTTTTTTCGTATAAAGACATAAACCAAATTTTGATGCTCTATAATATTGGGTGGATGTGGTTAATTTTTTCATTTCTCTATGGGCACTTTAGGATTACCTAAAGACTATACGGAAGAACAGAAGCAAACAAAAAGCTTCTGTTTCCTTCTCTCTCTAAAGAGAAGACAGTTTCAATTTTAATTGCGCTGTGGGCGTGCTTTTTACGCGATTTCGTCCACTTTCGATATAGCTCTGCTCACAATAAGCTTGCAATGTTTCTGCCCAACCTGACGGCAATATTTTAACTCTTCTGGCCAAAAGAATGTTTGTCACGGAGATATTAGACAGAGAAGCACACGGAAATGGACTCAGAATTTGATATAGGTATACCATGCAGCGTCTCCGAAGCTTCCTTCTGAGCATTGCGAGCGGTGTTGCGTGCAATAAACTAACGTAAAATATACTTACTGTGACTTTTTCCAGATATCATTGTGAAAAAGAAAAATGAATCGATTACTTTTTTATAATTAATACTATTTTTTTGTTTTATTTATAAGAATAATTGCATCTGCTTATGTACGTAATGTAGTGATTTTTTTCTTTTTCTTTTAAGCTGTACTTTACTGTGTGTGTTTCTAGTTGTAGTGTTGAGTGACTTAATGAGATACTAAACAACTAATTGTTTGTTTGTTTGTTTGTTCATTTTTTTTTTTTTTTTTGTCATTCATTATTAGCGTATGAGCATTAGTGATTCAGTATATATTTTATGAACGTATGTCAATGATTGAATACTACTTATGCGTGTATGTGTGTTCATACAGTTTTGTAAATATAATATCATATTATCAGATATCCATCATAGATACATATATATAAATATATCCGTATATCTGTATGTTTGTTACGTATGCATGTATGTATGTATGTATGTATGTATGTATGTATGTATGTATATATGTATATATGTATAATACATATGAATGGATGCATAATTTTTTTTTTTTTTTTTTTTTTTATAATAATGGTTTTTTTTGGGGTTTTTTTTTTTTTTTTTTTTTTTTCCCCTTTTTTTAAATAATTTTAAATATGAGAGCGAATTCGTAATGAATAAGGGGCAAGGAGGAATTATGATTATGATACGAGACGACGAGAATAACACAATTGTAAATATGAAAGCATGTAATCGTTAAATATATGCGTGTATAGGGGAATATATGGATTTAGTTTATATAAACGTGGGGTTATATGTGGGTAATAATTAATTGTTCTCGAGTTAAATAATGTTTTGGTTTGTTATGTTTTGTGGTTTTTCTTTTATTCTTTTACTTTTTTTATACATTTAATTGTTAGTGTAAATATAGGTAGGTGTACATGTACGTAGCAATGAGTAAATGAATTACGAATTCTTCTTTCAAATGAATATTATATTTTTATTTTATATATTTTGTGAAGAAGGGATTAAAGAGACGATATTTCGATTTTTCGCTTATACTTTGTTTTGTTTCGCAAAATATGACTTCACTTATTTCGCAGGTTGATATCGTTTTCAGTCACTTACTACAGCCGCGATCAAAGTAAATTCTATCCAATTGAGATTAAAATCAACGTACGTTGACCTCGTCGTCGCGATTCTTACCTATTCGGCTACTCTTGTCGATGTACGTAATATCCTGATGGGCTTGAATTAGATCTAAGTTAGTCTGTCCATCTGTGCATCTGTGAATTCTTATATCTAATCTATAGGTTGCCATTTTCAAAATATTTTGATGAAATCTGGTACACCGACATATGTTCGCCCGGGTCGGACCATCTTTCCGATCATCTTTCATATAACGCCTTGTCGAATATTAAAGAATTGTTTAATTTTTACAATTTCGCGACAAAAACCGCTTAGTAATAGTAATCTAAATTGGTGTCAGAACTTTAAATCGGATGCGGCTCCTGCCATATTCTTACGTGTCTAAGAAAACTGCATTTTTCTATTATAAAATGAAATAATTTTCAATAGTTCATGGCCAAAATTGTTTCATAATAGTATTTTGTTAGAAATACTGAAGCTTATTGAATTTGGACCAAGAAGGTAAATAATTTCGATAGCATCGCAGAAATATAATATAAGACGTTATATGCCAAAAAGTTCTTATCATTTATATAAAAAATTAAGTGAACTAAGTGTAAACGAAATGGATCCCTATTTCTTGAATCTCATTCCCAATTAGATTTCTCATGCGTATTAAGCCCCGTTAGCAGAAGGTTTAAACTGCTCAATAGTAGCAATTTAGACAAAAAAAAAAAAAAAAAATTAACCAACAAGAATTCGGTTCATATAGGCGCAATTTTTAAACTCCGTCATATACTCGTTTATAGGGATCACCATGAAAAGTAAGCACTTATATGGAGAGAAAGTCTAATTTGTAATTTTTTATGACGGAAAGAGATGAAAAATGATAAAATCTTAGTAAAAGTAAACATAGTTTAATAAAATTTGGAATACGTCAGTGTTATGTTTCGGGCATTCTTCAATATGGGATCTTCTATGAAAAGAATTTTTTTTTATCATTCAGTTCACATTTGATTGATTGGTATTCTCTCCTTTCGTTTTTTGTTTATCAAGAAGCACATGAACAGAGCAGGTATGTCCGATCTGAATCGATTTTTCTCAGACCTCTGAACTGATGAACTCACAGCTAATTGTAGAAATTGCATTTTAGTTTTCTTGAAAATTTTACCAAGACCACTGAGACTCGGCAACTTAGTTAACTTTTGACTGCGTCTCTAAAAAGCGGGAGGAGGGGAACAGTGTTTTCTTTTCTTTTTTTTTTTTAATGTTAATTCTGCAAATGAACCCCTGGATCACTTTGACTGATTATTGGATTTAATCGAACGAAAATGATGAATGTGAAGAAAAATGCGAGAAAAATTTCAGAAGTGTGGTCTTTAAAGTGTAATCGTGAAGCAATCATGCTAAAATAATAGATCAGACATACAGAGCTTTTTCCATTGAAGAAACATCTTTTGTTGCGTCTGTTATATTGAATGAATTCTATAACATTCGAAATTGGCCATTATTCATGATTATATGAAACTCGACGGGGGCTACTCCCCAGATTTGTCAGATTCAGATTTCAGATCCCATGAAGTACGAATACACGGACAGTTAAGTCCGTAAGTTTTTCTCGTAAGATTTACAATTTAATGCCATTTCTATATATCGGCGATGACGAGTCTAATAGGATCGAAAGAGATCAATTTTCGTATAAGCGATTTAATATGAATGAATAGTTTTTTACATGATTTCTTTTATTATCAATGAACGAAAAAGACTGACACCAATGATGGATCTTGTCGAGTGTATGTACATGCATGTATTTATGAAGAACACAAATAAATATTAATTCATTATATATGTGTTTCTTGTTTTTTGTGTTTTTGTGTTTCCATAATGCAAAAACGTCTTCTTTCCATTACGATGATGGAAACATTCAGGCTACTGAACTTTTCATCATTTCGTTAGTTTCGTTTACGCACTTTGTCCATTAATAATATGATGAGCGTCAATTGAAATCTAAATATTGCATGATTTATGAAAAATGTTTATATATGTACTTAATTTATTGTAAATGTTTGCTTGTCGGTTTGTGTGATTTTTCTTATTCTTTTTCTTCATTCATTTTCGTTTGTTTTTCTATCTTTCTGTTTTAAATAAGGAAAATTGTTTTCTTTTTTTGTTCTTTGTTTGTTTGTATCTTATTTATTTATTTTTTTAAGAATTAATTTGTTTGTCGTTATTGTTGTACTAGTATTGCGTGTAAGTTGTGATGATTGCAAAAATATGTTTTCACTTTTCTATATGTGTCGATGAGTTTGTTTGTGCGTGCGTGTGTGTGTGTGTGTGTGTGTGTGTGTGTGTGTGTACTTTCACTTCGTGTGAAAATGATTTGTCCACCTAAATATGAAGAAAGATTGCTTTTTGGTTACTTTCGTTTATTGATTTGTTTAATAGTTTTTTTTTTTTTTTTTTTCATTTTTTCGTTTTCGCTTTTTTTTTTTCCCTATATAAATTATTGAATTTTTTTAATTTAAAATTATAAATTTTTAAAATTTCTCTTTTTTGACTTAGTTCTTTGGCTGGTTGATTGCCTACGAAATACGAGACGACGTTAAATATACTTAACTCAAAACTAGATTAGTCTATGTTATGTATGTGTATATATACGTATGTGTATGTATGTGTGTCTGTGTGTGTTTATTTTAAATGAAAAAAAAAAAATATATATATATATATATATATATATAAATATATATATGTATATGTATTGTATATAATTAACAATTAAATCAGTTTTGTTTTTTTTCATAATTTTCAAGAGAGATTTTTATTTTTAGAATTAAAAACTGTTTTTTATGGGATTGATGGAGTAGAGGCGTGGGGTGGGGGGAATTTTTTGTGGTTTTTCTTCGTTTGCTTCGTTCTATTAACTAAAGAAACGATCGCCGAGATCACTTTCGAATAGAATCATTTTACATTTAGACGCTATTCTTCGATACGAACTCACGCAGAATATCACAAGCCATCTCAATGTTGTTGCGTGATATGCCTAGAGCAGTGATGGCGTTCTCTTTCGAATAACCTTCGCTCATTAAACGCGCTATATACTCGAGATTAATATTTTCGTAGGGGACTGTTGTGCAGTCTTTTTGATTGATCGTCACATTTTCATAAAGTAAGGGCTGTTGTTGAGGTTTTTGCATTGTAGCCATCGCAGTTGTTGTTGCATTATTATCGGTGCTCGTTTTAAGCTCGTTGCGTAATATTGAAGTGAAAGAGGAAGATGATAAAGCATTATTAGTATTGGTGGTAGTGGTTGCATTACACAATTGCGTATAGTGCGCTAAGGTAGATGTTCTAGCCTCTAAGGGTCTTGTGTCTATGACACCAATAATAGTTTCGGCTGGACCAACTATATCGTCATCCAGTAGGGAACGCGTAACACTACCACCTGAGTTATTACTGCTACTACTACCGACACTAGTGCAATTGGTCGATATTAAAGTGGTCGATACCGAAATTTGATTGCTTATGCGTTGCATACGCAACTCCTCTACCAAATTGTCCATATGCGCAGTATCGTTGCTATTATGAGGCGGCACGGGAGGTGCAGCGACTTTCGGTAATACATTTGACGCTTCGCTTAACGTTACAGCAATATTATCGACACTTTTGCTAGTCTGCGGTACGCTGCTCTTTTGTACGGCTCCATTAATTAATCCATTTGAGCTATTGATGACTGTTGTCACCGTGGCCATGCTAGAGGTCGTATTCTCAGCACTGGGCGACGATTTCCTAGGCGGTAACGGAGGTGCTCCTACACCACCATTCGCTTCCTTTTTCTGCCCATCTTTTATTGTAGTAACAAGGGTCTGCGATTCTTGAAGGTTTTGTAGAATAGCATAAGAAGAATTTGAATTATCATTAGTTTCCGATTTAGAGGATATTTTCTGGCCATAACCTAAAATTAAGGCATTCGAACCCATTAAAGGAGCGCTCATACGATTTGTAGATTTTTGAGAGGCTGTGCTTTGTAAATTATTTGCCCCACACGCCGCCATTCCATTACTGTTGACCGTGTTTAAAGGTGGGGCCGAAGGCATTTGATTTAAAACGACAATACCGCCACCGCTGCTTCCACCGCCGCCGCCACCACCACCGCCAGCACCAGTACCACTCATTACACTGGATGCCGCTATATAATTAGCTGTATTATTGGCCAAGGACAATGTGGGCACGTGGCCAGCGTAGAGATCATTTTGTACTGCCATTAAACTGGGCGTAGTACTGCGCCTAGCAAATCTTGGTGATGTATGAGGACTATGCTTGTCCGAGGAATGCGTCGATGAGGTCATGTTGTTGCTGAGTGCATGCAATGACGAAGTGGCTATATTAAACTCTCCAACATCCTAAGATTAAAACGAGCAAGCAAGGAGTAAAACAAGTGAGACAAGAAGCTTCCCACAAGTTTATTGTTTTTGTAAAATTTTTCTCTAAACCTAATAAAATATAACCAGCCAATATGTTATTAATGTCTGACCGATAAGGACGGTTGCTTCGATCGCTCTATGCTCAATCGAAGTGGTTTAGGATCCTCTGGATCGAATATGATTTCTCCAAACAAATAGCTTACATAGAAGCTGCTTGTTATACTTTCGACGTTTCGACGGCGATCGATAAAGCGACGAAGCGATAAAAAAAAAATTCGTATTCGTTTTCTATTAATTCAGAGTAATTAACTGGAAGCTGTTTGTTATTTTGCATTTTAAAAATAGTTTCGCAATATAACAGAGTCGATGCTTTGGCAGATTGACGGCTCATTAAATTTTAGCTATTAGGTGTGCAAACAAATGATATCCATTGGAATTGGTTACATCATAGAATGTACGTGATGAGTTTATTTTTTCCGAAAGTTTGATTATGGATAACTTGGACGTTGGAGCTTGTACGGTATAAGTATAAATTGGCGTGCAGCGTCTATCGAATGCGTCGCACGCAACGACGTCCAAGCGACGGAAATGATTAAGTTGGCTCAGGTTGAACATACAATAGATTATGAAACGGTCAGAAAGTTGTTTGCGAGAGATGAGAAATTTTACTCTTGAGGACGATGAATGCTCTGGGAAGTTCTTTCGTTGGAATTGGAAAGGGAACATCAACTGCGAACCTCTAAATCGTGATGAAATAGTTGCATCTAAACGATATCAAGTCAAATTAAGTAACGCCTCTGTGGAACGAAGGAACGTTCTACGAGCAAGGGAACTCGAAAAGTGATATTGCTTCACGACATATTTTCGCTCATCAGCAGTAAGAGCAACCCAGATAAGGATCCTCAACTTGGCCAGGGAACATTTCCCGATTGCGGCATATTCCTCAGACATATCTCTTTCTGATTGCCAGTGGCTCCGATCGATGCAAAATCTTAGTTAGCCGGCCAGTAGCTTTGCAAAGTTGAAAATATGCGAATATGTATCAATGAATCGTATCGATAATATTACGGAACAGCGAGGGCATCCGCAAACTGCTCGATAAGAGGTAACGGGAGAGGTATTAAGCTTTGTAGTAAAAGTAATTTAATTAAAATTGAAAAACGGACAGAATTCGGGCGCACACCTAATAATTTTAAATACGAGAGAGACTTTTACCGCATTCTTAACTTGCTTGTGACTGGCTGCCGCCTCTGGTTGTTTCACCGTTATTTTATTACTTATACTGTACTTTGGACAGGAACGCGGAATCGTTGCTACTCACTGGTCAGACATTAACCGATTTAAGATTTATTTGATTTTGAAAAACTATTGATGCTTCTTACGTAGAACCAATTTTTCTCGATGATAGAAAAAAAGTTGGAAAATTGAGAAAAAAATTAAAGAAGATTAAACAAAAAATATTAATAATGTTAACAACAACAACAACAACAACAACAACAACGAAAAACGTGCTATCTAATATTTGTCTAAGATGATGCGAACTTCAAAACAATTATTAATTATTATTATAAAAGAAAGAAAACAAAAAAGTCAACAAACACAACACAATCCATCACATTATTAACATTTCTCTAACATGCATGCGCACGCGAACACATAATTTACAGCTGAAACGAAAGGATGAAAAATGAATGTTTTGCTCGATAGACCAACCACCGCTGAGTCTGCTGGGATATTTTCCGATTTATAATTGAATGCAAAACCAATTGATTTTCATACATTCTCTTTGCGGGCATATCGTTGAGATCTTTTATTACATTATTATTATCTTTTCTTATCTACATCCTTAAATATTGTATACAGAAAAAAAAAAAAAGAAGCGAAACTTCTTAGTTGAAAGACTTCCTCTAGGCTTGAAAAAATTGAGATCTCAAAAATTTGCCATCGGGTCTGTGAAAAATGGTAGAAAAATGTCGAAATGAAAAACAAATAACATAGCAATAAAAACACTGTACTTTTGAATCTATCTGATAAGAATTATGAAAAAAAAAAAAAAATAAAAATAAATTTTATTTTCTTCATACATGATACGAAAACTGACTAACTAACTAATTAATGCTCAGCCGTCAGCTAAAGTTTGTATGTCATAAGTTCAATACTTACATCTTGATTCGCTTTATTAATCAATTTCAATTTTTACTGGAATAAGTACATACGTGCACCGTTATTAGGAAATAAATATCGATTAACGGATAACTCAACACTCTAGCGTTGAGTTGAGTCTAGCAAGTCAAAATATTGCAGTTTCGTCCTTGAGCCGAAACATGTCGGTGTAACAAAAACCGTAGATAGATGTATACAAGAATGCAATGCGGATAGATGGACAGACAAGCTTAGAAGTATTTAGAAAGTAGTTCGATATAGGTCAGTATAATAAAGCTCGAATCTATCCGAAGTCCTCCTGGGTGTTGTGCATACATTTGCACCAATTTAATATACCCTTGTAGGATAAAACGAAAAGCTTATTCTTGACAATTCTCTTCTTCTTTTTTCGATAGAAAGAAAAGAAGTACCAAAATAATAATAATCGAGAAGTTCATTATCCTTTCCCATTCCTATTAGTTTGTTCGGAAACTTATTTCGTTCGGTTTCCAATTGTTGCTTAACACTGCTATTCATACAACGAGATTGCAAAGTAAGGCTTTATATGGGAAGTGATCGAAAAAATAAGTAGTCCAGGACAATATATGTCGGTATACCGAATTTCATTAAAATATCTTAAAAATCGCTGCCCAACTATCGTTGAACGTAATAATACATGGACGGTCGTAAGACAGGGGAGGCAGATAAGCTACGCGTTGTTGTTGTGTAACAGAAAGTAATCTTTTTTTGTTATTCAGTCAGATATTTTAGTGTAACGAAATAATATATTATATTAATATGGTCAAGAGGTCACCCAGCTCGAGGTTGTAACGCATCAACGCAAGTGTCACTGTAAGTCTAGCTAGTTAGGCAGTAGTCGGGGTATTCCGCTGGCTATCCAACACACATTCCACAGACATTTACATTCAGGAAATACATGTGCAAACACCCCTATAGAAGCAGATGGACGATCAAAACTCTCCAGCGTGTAGCATACATCCTGCCTTGGGCCTATAATTTTACGTAGAAGACTACATCCACGCAAAGTCATGCAAAATGTGAAGTAAGATACGAAGAAAAAACAAACAGATTGGCTTTCTGGAAGAACTGGGGAGAGAGAGAGAGAGAGAGAGAGAGAGAGAGAGCTGCGTTATTATTTATAGGTAAAAGAAAAGAACGGGAAAAGGACACAACAATAAGCTACAATTTCCAAGGTACAACCAAAGGAAACATAAGACGTTTATAAAGTAACAACACCAATTGATTTAACAGATAATGGATAATCCATTCATCTTCGCTATATATTTCACATAAATTAATATACATTAAAATAACAAACGTGTCAAAGAACACTACCCAGTATATTTGGCCATATCGGCAAGCATTCGTGCACTCATCTGCTTGCTGGTCGAATGCTTAAAGTAAAAAAAAAATATAATAGAATTGCGCGAGTGCTAATGGAGTTGAGGGGTTTATAGTATGGGAATTGTCACTAACATTACAAATCGGATCGACACAATTGCCCTATCAAAAGTTGTTTTACAACTAAGCTTAAGAAGCCTGTTTAATTTATGCTACCTGCTTAAAGTTTCCAGGGAATCCGGCCCAGTTAAGATGTACACGCATGCAAACTTCATTACTTCGTTTGCAAGAAATAGATGGAAATACTTTCGTGTTATGTACCTTCAGGTCGATAGGGATTCGTGAAACTTCTTCCCTTACATTTATCTCGAATTTAAACGGAATTCAACCGATACACTGATCACATATTTAGATGCAAAACCAAAAGCAACGCGAATTTTCAAGTGGCGCATACTTTGTATTTTGAATTCGATTCGTTTTCGTGTGAGTCCATAAGTTGATGTTAGTGGTAGTCACATGATTGATAGTTTGCTGGCAATCACGGCACATATAGTTTGCGTTGCGCAAACGAATGAATACGTTGTACTTTAATACAACATTGCTTCCAGAAAGATCGACAAAGCGTGAAAAGAGGAAACATAACGAAAGACCTGTGCAGCTCGTTCATCGTTGATGAAATTGTGGGAAAATACTTAGGAAATTATGCCCCGTACACGACAACATAAATAACAGAATTACTATTAGAGAGACCGTTAAGCCAGCACGAGGAACATAGCGATCAGGTAGAGTGATTTTTTCTAACGTTTTAAATACAGAATAAGTGTTCATTAAAATAGCGAATATTTCGCTATTATCCTACACTTCTTCAGTCATGGCTGGCTATGGCTTTTCCCTATTTCTCAAACACGAAGAGATGCGTTCTTAGCAAGATACAATAATATCGAAGCGAAATATACAGACCATTATTTGTGGCGTTTCGTCATTTAGCGGACAGTGTACGGAAGCCTTCTTGCGGGTTTGAAGGCAAAATAGCCATAGCCGTATTCTTTTTCACATATTTTCTACTTCTATGAATCGCTGATCTGCTTAGTTCGACTGCATCGATCTGAATAAATGGTAATCGGAAGGGGTCGCGTTTGGAGAATACTGCGGGGTGCGGTAAACCTTCTCAGACTAAGTTGAATACCACTTTTTGCGTTCCTTTTGCTGAAGACGGACAGACGTGTGCAACTTTTATCATCAAACATCAATAGCTAAGCATCGGGTACGTTTTATGAAGAAACCAAAATTCAACGGAACGAATTGATATATACGCGTGTATATATACAAAATATGAAATCGCTATCCAAACTTAATTTCAATTCCGAATTCCATTTCATCAACAGACGTCAATAGTAAATTTTCTCCAAGCATGCACACATCGAAGCACTTTGAACAACTATTGGGTACTAGGGAGAACGGAAGACCACTGTAAA